GAAGGGTCTAGGCCCGAAACGTCGGCCTTCCTGCTCCTATGATGCTGCTTGGCCTGCTGTGTTCATCCAGCTCTACACCTTGTTATCTCTTATAACGGCATACTGGATGTGTGTTTGATCAGAAAAATAATTAGGCTTTCAGGAAGTTTATTCTTTTATAACTCAGATCTTCCTTTGGCACCAACATATCATTAGAACCACACCCACGGTCATGAAATGAAACACTAGGGAACAGAGTGGTGCTATGGGCTAGATATGGGCCTTGCATCTCTGGGATCTGAAGCTAATTCAAACTGAGATTGATGGGAAGAACATCTCTTCACCCCATTGACCACAAAGGCTGTATACGAATCAAGCTTGTGCAGAATTAGACCACTTTGTTAGATCCGGATTGTAGGGCACAAGCCTTTCCCTGACCATGATAGGCCTAGGGACAAAGTGTAGGAAATGTCACTTCACTGGCGTGCTCTGGAGGATAGTGACTTGAAAATTTTAACCTGTACTGTTTGGAACGGACCTGGTATTACTTGGAGTAGATAATGAATCTGCTATTTTTCCTTTTCAGTGTTTATTTGAAATGACAGTCCTCTTTTTGATGAGCTTTTAAAAAAAAAAGTAATGTAAAAACCTTTAAGCACTTGGAAACTGATGTGGTTGTTGTTCAGATTAGTGGGTCTGCAGCTCTATTCTCAAACTGCAAGATTTAGTAGCATAATCATAGAAGCAAAGTCTCCATCAAACTCAAAATGCCAAAAGTACTAACTGCTGAGTATTTTTAATTATGATTCTGGAAATGCTGAATGCCACAAGCTTTGTTCAGAGTTGAGACATCTTCCTCAGACAGCACAATAATGAAGACTGCTCAATAAGGACTTGCTGAAATTAAGTCAGGCCCATAATTTCAGGGGTATTAAAGTTAAAGCATTACAACGCACAACGTTAAAATCCTGATTTTAAACCACTGCAGTTAACCTTAAACACTCTTCAGCACCATTATTAAAAGAATGGCGATGGCCTTGTGGTACTATTCGGTGGACTGTTAATCTAGAGACCCAGGTAATGACCTGTTAACCTGGGCTCAAATCCCACTGAGGTGAAATTTGAATTCAATAAAAAATAATAATTTGGATTAAGAGTCTAATGATGACCATGAACCCATTGTGGATTGTCAGAAAAACCCCATCTGGTTCACTAATGCCCTTGAAGGAAGGAAACTGCCATCTTTACCCAGACTGGCCTACACGTGATTCCAAACCAACAGCAATGTGGTTGACTCTTAAAAGACTTGTGGGCAATTAGGAATGAACAATAAATGCTGGCCTAGCCAGCAACACCCATATCTCATGAATAAATTTTAAAAATGAAAGACGAAATATTTCATCGAGGATACCTAAAAGCCTCAAGTGGCCACTGAACCCTGATTAAAAACAAAATTTAGAAGGGAATTGGACAAGAATTTGAAAAGGAAATTTAAAAACTAAAAGGGCAGTGAAATTATGTTAAAATAGGCAGCTCAAATTGAAGAGTTCATACCAGCACACACGATATGCTGAATGATGTTCTCAGCCAACATTTAGGTATCATAAAATACAAAATACAAGCTTCAATTAACCACTGTTTCATTCACCTCATCTTCTGTCAATTTAATAAAAATGCTAGTCAAAAGCCATTATAAAAATGGGATTACCAAAGAGGGGGGCTTTAAGTGAGCTTTTACCTACCTCATAAATTCCAAAAGCCTCAGAATATTTTTTTAAAATGAGGCCCACACACTATAAAAAAAAGGTCAATTTATCAGAAGTGACAGACTAGACTTACAGAATATCAGCATTGTGTTGTCCAAGTCACACCAGAAGCACAGTGGATTGTTTGTACATAATTGGACAGTGCTCATCCTGCAAGTTATTCTTCTCTATCAACTTCGTACTTCCTGCTTTACCAAATATTGCACCTTGCTCTTCCACCAAAATGTGGGAAGTCTCCTTTAAGTCTCAGTGCCCCCAAACCCTGAATGCATCAAGCAACATATTCTTCCTGCAATATGTTTCTCAAATTCTTTCATTCCCATAATCTCAAAATGATTAAGCTTCTCATCTCCTTCATTTAGCCTTTCCTCCTGTGACCCTTCCCATCGGGAAGAATACATGTAACGCTGAGAGACCACTTCACAACTTACATACCTTTCTAGTTCATGCTTTGCAAACCAGATTGCGCTCCAGGCTTTTGACCTTCATCTTGTTGTCTCAAGTTTCTATTTTGTTAAAGGGAAGCCCGCCAATAAGGCCATATCCAGGAAACCTCCCACCCAGCTCATGCTGAGACATCATGATAGGGGTGGGGTTAGTGTAACCCTATCGCATGCATATTGTTGATTCCTACCTGGCAGAGCAGTGATGAAGTCCCGTTGCAACATGGGTTTCAGATAGGAGTTAATATGCCCATGCTGGTAATGGCACATCCGGGATATGAGGTGCTCCACGAACTCCACCTGATCGGATTCAGACCACTGGTCAAAATATTTAATACACAAATCCTTCTCTTTCTCGTAGTTCCCAGAGGGTCGCTTTCTGGAGACGATCATAGAAGGGGGTCCATTAGTGATCTGGGTTCGGTAATCAGAAATGGAAATAAAAAAACAAATATTATGGATACTTGAATTCAAGTTACAGATCAAAATCAATAAAAACATTTCAATGCTAAACAGTTTAAAACACTGCAGCAGACTTTCTGCACATAGCTGGGAAAGGCCAGTGGGGAGAGAAAGGAGCGAGAGAGCAGCATTCAGATCTGTCAAAGCACACAGGCTTTTAGAAAATATTCTAGACATCTTAAGGGCCGCTAAAGCTCAATAAATCAGCAATTCTTTCTTTGCAAAAGATTTACTTGCCAGAAAACATGCACAACACAAGAGACATCACAAATCAAATAGGTGCAATATAGCCAAAGCAAACACGCTAAGATGTTTTTAAATCAGCTTTGTAATCTTGGCCTACATAAGCTTTAAGCAAAAAAATTAAATCCTACCTACATTTATATTTGGTGCCTTATAGGTGTTAACTTAAGAAAAAAAACACGACAGTAGCAGATCATCAAACAAATCATCCTAAGTGAGGCAAAGAGACCGACACGATATTGATCTGGTCATGTATCTCTCTCCATCGTGTTATACCGGGAAACTAGGTCAAGCAGCAGGAGAGGCAAGACCACACAGCACAGAAAATGAGATTGAACTATCAGAATCAGACTTATCTAATCTCAGTGAGGACAACATTAATTATCTCATTTACTTCTACACTTGGAAAAAGTAAAACTTGCATGATGACTTTGCAACGTCCCAAACACTAAATCATGCATTCATACCTCTGGAATGGGGCTAACCAACTGCTGTGTTCTGATCATTGCCCGATTCCTTTTGTACATGTTCATGTGTGGACAGTGAGGGAGTGCAGGACCAAGGTCAAACGTAGTGTTCTAATGGGGTACTGCACATTTGCCACAAAATGCCCACAAGCAAGAATTATCAGATTTCTCTTACTCATAGAACACTCCAAGTTATGGCCTTTCGACTAGTACGACGGAGAAAGAAGTGCAATGACCAGAATCGGTTCCTTCATACTGAACAGCACGGTTGAATTAGCAAGGCACGGAGTCAGTGAAAGTTTAGAAGATTGCAGGATGTTCTTAGTGTGCATAAACATAAAAAGATTCAATCAGGTAGATACAGATGGATATCAAGGACAGGGAGATCTCTTCTCAAAATTAGAGCTAGACTTGCTCGCAAGCCAGAAAGGAGTGCAAGTCCTTGTGTCTGAGACCAAGTTCTGCACCCCACTGCAATTGGTTTACATCAATGTCCTTTCAATAAGTGTTGCTTGAAGGATTGCATGATCAAAATTAGGTCTTATGGTCAGAGTTGAAGCATTGGCTAAACCATTTATGGAGGCATTGTACAAAATGTGTTTTTCGATAGAGGTACTTTTGCAACAAGTTGAGTCATGATTTGAGTGTTGGGTCTCCTCATTATCATTATGGCGATGGAGTCCATATGGCCCAACGAGTCTATGTGGGCTTCCTTTTTACAGCAACCTGATCAGTCCCTCAAATCATGAGGGACCTGGATATGGTGAATAGCCAAAGTCTTTTTCCCAGGGTAGGACAGTACAAAATTAGAGGGCATAGGTTTAAGGCGAGAGGGGAAAGATTTAAAAGGGACCCAAGGGGCAACCTTCACACGCAGAAGGTGGTGCGCGTATAGAACGAGCTGCTGGGGTGTTGGTAGAGGCAGGTACAAATCCAACATTTAAAAGGAATCTGGATGGGTACATGAATAGGAAGGGTTTAGAGGGACATGGACCAAATGCTGGCAAAGAGGACTAGATAGGAGATGTGGTCGACACGGATGAGTTGGACTGAGGAGTCCGTTTTCATGCCGTATGACTCTATGACTACTATTAAGTAGTGAAATCAGAAGCACCTTTCCTGCATAGGGTAACAGGAATCTGTAACTCCCTTCTCCTAAAAGGCTGATGATAGGCCATTTGGAGCTCCCAACAGTGATACAGATAAGATTTAGAATAATGAAGTAAATGGCGTTAACACACAGATCACCCAAGAATGCGGAATACGAACTGAACAATCTATTTCTGTTCCCTTGATCCCAACACCAAAATTATCTTGTAACTTTTGGTGCTGCCTGTCCAGGTTCAAATTCTGAACAAAATGGCCAGATCACTCATGTTGAGATTATATTCTGGGAGTTCTATGGGACCCCACACTGCACCTTTCACAAGCAGGTTCCTCTAGCCTGCAACCAAGTTTTGTCAGTTGATGATAGAGGGCCAAACTACAAAGTATACATCACCTCATGCAACAAACGCCTAATACACTTAGACAGTCTTAACTAATAAAGAATCTTTTGGTGACCAGAGCCAGTAGGTTTAGACACAGTAGCTTCAGTGTTGCAATTACGTTGGGGGTATCTACTAAGGTTGGAATGGAGACCCCTCATCAGGTCAGATATATGCACAGCCTGGTCTGGATCTGGTTAGTTTGATGCAGTCAGAAGGCACCATGGAAGACTTCCATGCCCTGACATCACCACCCTTCATCTTCAGCACAGAAAAAAAAAACAAAACTAATGGAGAAAAAGAACACTTTCTAAGTTTATGGAGAAGTTAACAGCACCATGGACAATGCAGAAAGCAAGGCACAGTACACAATACTGTCAAATAAACAATGTGCAAATTTCTTTATAGGACAGGACATGAGTGGTTTCTGCCTCCTTCACAAGTATGGGCACATCACATTTTGTCATCATGTGTAGAATTAGAGTGGCTGCCACTGAACTAACACTAGATTTGATTCTGCAGTGACATGGACGTGGTGACAGTTGCGTGCTCCCTTATAGCAAGGTCTAATACCACTGGCTCCTCTCTACCTCAAAAGAGCATAGGGCAGCAGGTGCAGTGTGGTGCTGGTCAAAGGAAATGACAGACCTGTCATTGGCACCTAGCCCAAGATATCAAGCTAATCCTAAGGGAAGAACAAACGTCTAAACAGAAGCAGGAGAAAATGATGCACCTCACTCAAACAATGTAAAATTTGGGTTATTCTTTAATAACAAAGATGAAAAATGTTAAGTCCAAGGAAGCATCATTTGGTTTATTTTCAGCAGGGTATCGCTGGGGAACCTACAAACAAGAGTAGGCCACTTGGATCTTGAAGTCTTCTCCACCATTCAGTAGCATCATAGCTGATCTGACTAACCTCAACTCTACATTCCTGCATATCCCTAATAATCTTTCATCCCTTTAGAAATCAAGATTTTATTTACCTCTGCCTTAAAATTTAGAGATTCTGTACCACTATCTTTTGAGGAAGGAAATTCCAAAGACTGTCAACCCTTAGGCGAAAAGAGATGTCTAGCAAACCTCTTACTTTTAAACAATTAACTCTAGTTCTAAATTCTCCCAGAAGAGAAAATATTCTTTCTACATCCACTCAGCCCAATTGTCTCCTATATGCTTTAATTAAGCTTCCCCACCCCCAACCCCAGCTCTTCTAACCTCCAAACAATACAGGCCTAGCCTCACTAGGCTTTCTTCATAAAGAAACCCATTCATTCCTGACATCACCATGCATTACCAAACCCTAGATGCCCTTCAAAAAGTGGTGGTGAGCGTAGCACAGAACCTCCACAGCTCAAGCAGTGAAGGAACTTCCACAATGTTGTTACGTAGAGTTCAGATTTTGATCTACAGAGAGGAAGAATAACAGAATTCTTCCAAGTTAGGGCTTGTAAGGTAGGAGTTCCAATGTGCTTGGTGCCCTTATCCAGGTAAATATTAGAAATCAGGGAGTTTGGTGGAGGATTCTATCAAAAAAGCCACAGATCATCATCATCACAACCATCATATCTCAACTGCACATCGGAGAAGGTGGGCAAGAGAGGGGGAAATGAGTGATGAGCACAGATCCAATTTAACGAGCCATGATATGGGAAATGACTGGAAATGTTTGATGGAACAGTGGGATACAGAGTGAGTTTTATTCTTTGTGAAACTTTATTCTGTACCTGTCTTGGGAGTCATTGACAATGATAGCGTGGAAGCAGCTTTACTCTGCATCGCACCCTGCCATTGACATTTTCAGGTTACACTTGCCTTCTGCATATTCCAGACCCTAATTCCAGATTTTCAGCGATTTTTTTTTTATCATCAACATTCATCTCCGTGAGCAGAAAATGTCATATTTTTAAAAGAATGAAATATTATTTTGAAATTTCCAAATGACATGAATAAATCTTACTTGAATGCAGTTAAATTCCGTTCAAATGCAGATTTAGAAACACTGAATTGCTACAGAATGGTGGGCTGTAGGCATAAAAGCAATTAGTTTGCAGTCATTTTCTAACAAACTTTTAAAGATCAAACTCCAGTGGTTTGAAACTTTGCATTATTGAACTGAAGATACACAGTGCTTCAGTCCACTCGCATTACTGTGTTTAAATTCATGAGAACTAATGCCTAAACTAACAGGAACAAAAAAAAAAAAAAAAGAGAGAGCCATTTAAAGCTAGCACTTCTGATTCCCACAAGCGGCAAAAATGTTAGCCTCATTCAATTAGGAATGAATTATTTCTATTAAAACCATAAGATTCAAATCAAAATGAATTTTAAATATCCCATCAGCAGCTACGTTTCCAAGAATTCGTTTTCAGCTCACCTCAGCCTACAAACACCCTATCAAACTCTAACATGGAAAAGTATATCTCACCCCCAGTGATGGGCTGGTTTAATGTTCTGCCACCAATTTGTTATTGGCTTTGGACCCTGATCAGCAGCCACATGCCAGGTCTTGAACAGCATAAGGATGCAGTCAGCCAAGCTATGACCATGCTTCAATAATACCAGGCCTCAGGCTTTCCTCTACCTCTATAAGTTTCTGGACTCTTCACATTGAATGAGGTGTTCAGATTTCTGCCTGTCAATAGATTTCAGCTTAGCACTGGGAAACAACAGGCAGCCTGGTGCTATTCTGCAGATTTCTTGGCCTTGTTCAGTACTTGCCAGACACACAGGCACAAACACATCCCCCTTCTAGGAGGTCCACCTTCTTGAAGATATTTCAAATTCAATTTCAGAATCCTTATCCTTCACCTGCAAGACCTCAAACACTCCTGACCTCTACACTGTCCTTCATCTCTACTTCCCTACCTTTCACGGTCTTGTTTTCACAGCGCATGATATTAACCCCAAATTCCTCTCTTCTAAAAGTCTGCTGAAGCCACCATTCTTGGACCATACCTTTGATAACCAATATAAACACATTTCTCACCGTCATTTTGTACCCAGGTTGTCTCCACCCAAGCCACCTTGGATGATTTTACTGTGTTGAACAAGAGATCATATGCCGAATCCTATGTAATCCTGCTGCTGATAAAACTACCCCGAACTGCCCCTGCCAATATCCCACCCCACTAATACACAACTTCAATTATGAACCAAAATTAGGAGGTCAGAATTTCTAGCAGCTTGCAGATGCTGTTGGGATTTCAGTATTGGTAGCTGTGTAAAAGAGTCACACAGCCACGCATATAATTATAGATCTGTCCTTGCTGGAAAAGCACCTTGATTTGTACAACTTGAAGGTGAAGCGCTAATTGGCACAAGCAAAGCCTGGAAATGGACAGTGCTGTACAAGTGCAACTTACTGCTGATAAAATTGCACTTAAGCTGGTACGTTTTAATGTTGGGCAGCTCTCGATCTGCACATTGAATGAACCTAAATTGAAAACAATTGCTGGAAATACTCTAAGTCAGGCAACCTCTGTGGAGGGAGAAACAGGGTCAATGACCTGAAACATTATCTCTATCAGGTTAAATGAGTTTGACTGCAGAACTGATCTGTACAAAAGTAAAGTACTATCCATTTCCTGCCACCCACAGTTTAAACACTCATTCAAGGGCAAGATCCCCACGTCGACTTGATGGGATTTACATCTATGGCACTCTCAGATTTTCTACAGATAACTTTTACCTGCCATACTGTATTCTTCTTTGGAGACTCATCTTCATTTTGATCCTCCATACCCGATGTATTCTGCAATGCAGGAAAAGACATGTCAAAGAAGAATTGCTCAGAGAAACATATTTAAGTGCTTCTGAGGAAAAGCAGACAATTCAGCATCCAACCTTTTGATACAAAAGTTCATTCTCTGTTTAAAAACTCAGATTTGTTTGCTTTTGGCATGGGAGGGGGAAGAGGGAAGAGAAAAAGATTATATGGAAAAAGAGCCAGACATACATGTTATGAAGCTTGCTAATGACAAATTTGTAGTGATTTACTAAATAGTAACAAACAAGAAGATCGACCACATTACAGCTCCAAACAAAAACAAAACCAGTTTAATGGTGAGAAATCTGTGGCCCATCACGGTCCACATTACAAATCAGGGATTAGAATAAAGAAGAGGACCCCTACATTACACAGCCAACTACAAAATCAGTCAGTGTGTCTGCACTATACGATTAACATAGCAGTCAACACATAACTATAATCAGACAGGTACAGACATGCAAGAAAGTTAAGAGGAAAATCCAACAAGGCAAACTCGTAAGAGCTAGAACCAAAGTGCTAGCAAGTTGAAGTTTTGAGTGGAACCCTGGTCATCTTGCAAAGTATTTAGAAACATTCTTTCCTGTTCTCCTTTCTGATTGGTTAATGGAGTTTGACAGAGTAATTCAAAACCAGCGTGCCAGACATGGCTCAGTCTGAACGACAAGATTTTCCACATTCAACCCCTACCCTCTCCACACGAGGCACTCATCACAAAATTCAAGGATAACACTCGAACGTAAGACAGAGGGAGTAGGTTTCACAGCTGCTGTTTTTCAGGTAAACTCTTAAGCTGAGGTCCCATCTACCTGTTCAGATAAACGTAAAAGATCCCAGCTATTTCTCAAAGTAGAGTTATCCATGTGTCCAGACCAATACTTATCCATTAAATCAACATCACAAAAAACAGATTATCTGGTCATTATCACATTGATGTTTAAAAGGCGTTTGATAAGTGCACACTGGTTCCTGCCTTATCTGCATCACACAAGTGATTACATTTCATGAAGGCCTTGTTTGGTTGTAAAGCACTTTGGGACGTCCCGTGATCAAAGTGCTATACAAATGCAAGTCTTGGGGTTCAGACCTCCACAGAATAATTTTAGACCCTGACTATGGCCATAGTCAAAAGTCAAAGTGCCTTCACCAAACCAATTGGTCACTTCAAGTTAAGAGCTTTTGCATGGACATTTCTTTTTACCTCCAACTCCTTCTCTGAAGGTTCAACTTCCAGAAATTAATTTAACAACAAGAAAGAACTGAAATTATAACAAAATGACAGTCCTACATCATGGGAGAAACTTCAAACCCAATCTTCTCATGGCTGATGGTTTCCACATCATTCATACTGAAGCAAATTCCGAATTTGTATCTTAGTGTCAGAATTTTTGCTGTTTATTTGTTCCTAGATGTGGACATCATAACATTGATCAGTATTTAATGCCCATCCCTAAATACTTGGACTGTGGTGGGAGCTGCCTTCTGGAACCACTGCAGTCCTTTTGGTGTACATCGACACAATGTTGTTAGAAAGGAATTCCAGGATTTCAACCCAGTAACGCTGAAGAAAGAGATATATTTCCAAGTCACGACGGTGAGTGGCTTGGAAAGGAATTTTTAGGTGCTGGTGATCCCATGTATCTGCTGCCCTTGTCCTTGGTCGTGGATTTGGTAGGCGCTGTCTGAGGATCTTCGGTGAATTTCAGCAGTGCATCTTATAGGTAATACAACTGAGCAACAGTGCTGGAAGGAGTGGGTGCTCGTGGATGTAGTGGCAATCAAGCCGGCTGCTTTGGCCTGGATGTTGTCAAGTTTCTTGTGTTGGTGGAGTTGCACACATCCAGCTAAGTGGGGAGTATTCTACCACAATTCTGACTTGTGCCTTGTACATGGTGGGCAGGCTTTGGGAATTTCCATTTTCCTCTTTGATGTACTCAGGTTGACAGAAAATACCAACCAGGCTTCTGTGCTTAACAAGAAACCAATTCTAACTACAGGTAAACACAAGTACAGATCACCATATAACAACCAGCTGAAAGTCTAACTCTTTATAAAACTGTTATGCACATATACAGACAGACAAATAAACAAACGGTGATATTATAGGTGGAGGGAAAAATATTACAGAAACAGCTTCATAATACCAGCCCACAGGATTTGATGAAACACATCAGCCATGATCGAATGGCAGAACAGAACTGATGGGCCAAATGGCCTAATTCTGCTCCCATAGCTTACGGTGTCAGCTTAGATCTCTTCCCCCAGTGCCTGAACAAAACAACAGTATTAACACAACTCTCAATGAATTTCAAAATCTTTCCACAGTCCTTGGTTTAAAATAATCCTTTTCCCATTTTGGTCCATCACCAAAAGAAAAAAAAAGTGTTCCAGCTTTCATAGAACTGAGGCAGAGTTAGTTCTGGAGCACAAGTCTTCAATATTATTGCCAGAATGTTGTCAAGGCCCATATCTTTGCAGTATTCAGTGTCTTCAACCATTTCTTGTTATCACACAGTGAATCAAATTGTCTGAAGATCACCATCTGAGATTCTGGAGACAGTAGGCAACCAAGGTGGATCATCCACTTGCACTTCTGGTTGAAGACTGTTGCAAATGCTTCAGCCTTGCATTCTGTGCCACGTGCTGCGCTCCACCATCATTGAGAATGAGTTAAACAAAGGTAAATGGAACTAGGTCAGTTTAGGAAACCTGGTTGGCATGGACAACTTGGCCCAAAGGGCCCATTTCCATGCTGTATGACTCAGACTATGTACAACTGGATGCAGTTCTGTAGAGTTGGGATTTGATTTGTTGGTCATATGATCACTTTGCTGTCACAAGCTGCTTACATTGTTTTGCACATAAGTAGAGTGCATTGTAATCTCACCAAGTTAACCTTTACAGGTGCTGTTCTCAGCATGCCCTCCAGCACTCATCATTAATGTGCAAGAGTCAATGAGATTTTTATCGCTATGTATTTTGAAAGGTGACGTGGGCCTATATTTCACAAAGTTGTGAGTTACTGTCGGGGTTTCCCCACCGCATGCCTTATGAAACTCCTGGTGGGATGGTGAAGGAGAAAATAAGTCATCCATTATTGCTCAATTCTAGATTTATTCTTCAGGTGGTGAAATATTAAGAGGCACAATTCCAAACTGCTGCAACACTAGTGTCAAGAAATGTCTATTTACTAATTTTTGAAATTAACCTGTTTGTATATATTTGACACCTCCACAGCCAACACATCCTGTGGTGGGACTTGAACTCGGACCTTTTAGTCGAGTTACTTTGGGTCTCAATATAAATTCTTGTTAAGCAACCCGTTCGGATATGTTATGACCATTTTCTGAGGCAGGTGAGATTTGAATCCAGATTTCTGGGTCAGATGAGGGGACAGTAGCACTGCGCCATAAGGGGCCTTTAACGTCTCTTCACACATGCAATGGTCAAGCAATGGTCCAACCTTTAATTTATACAATTAACATGCTGAGTTGGTTGTTGAAACATGAAGCAGAACACCAGTGAGAAAATTCCTGTTGCTTTTCAAAATGGTACCTTGGGTTATTTTTAAGTTTGTCCGAGAGGGCAGACGGAGTCTCATCTAATGTTTCATCCTAACAGCAGCAGCTCTAACAGTGCAGGAGTCATGATTCAGAGGCGAGACTGCAACCTGATGAGCAACAGCCGATACCCTAGGACCGACATTCATTCAATATGCTGGTGTCATGCTAAAGGAAGAAGCCTCAATGCAAGTGTGTGTAATACACACTTTGGAACTTATCTTACAGTCCCTTTCCAATGACAGCAACCTGCATGTGTATTTCTCAGAAATAACATGGTCTTGTTTGCCAGTAATATTATAGCCATATTACAGCATTTAGATACAAATCAATCAGCCCAACAATATTACACTGAAGATCATAATGCATACAAGGCCATCACTACATCATTGAATCGCTAATTCTCCGAGTTCATCCAAATTCCCAGAAAATGCACAAATGTTTCTTTTCACTTCAACTGGTGCCTTTTGTAGTGAGTTTCACCTTTTATCCATCCTGAGTAAAGAAGTTTCTCCTGAATTCTCTACTTCTTAGTGACTATTTTTTATTCATAGTTGAGTTCTGGTATCATCCACAAGTGCAATCATTTTCTCTATATCCACTCCAAACACAGAATTTTAAAGACAAGGTCTACCAATCTTCTCTTTCCCAGGGAAAATAACCAAAACCTGTTCAGTTTTTCTGATAGGCATACCTGCTTATAATTATGCCCTTATTAACCAGAATCACTACCTATGATCTCCATACCCCTAGCTCCTCCACTGAATTTCATCCTGTACTTTATTCTTCCCACCAAAATACAATATTTCAAACTTTCCAACATTGAAAGTCATCTTCTAATTATATGAAGATAAAAAAATTCAATCCAAAATCTATGGGCTGTAATGAGCAGTTTCAGGTAGTACATAGGCCTGGTGTGATCGGTGATTCTACACACAGTCTTCAAAAGACAGAGATATACTCCATCAGAAACTATCAACTGAAATCTCAGAGCTTAATGGCACATCTATTCTTAAAGTCTGGTCTGCTGTCCTCCATAATTTAACACTACTCAGGTCCCTGTAATACAAGGAGGGCCCAGACTGTGCTTGCTCAGCATCAAACATATCACTAGCAGTAGTGCCTTCATCCTCAGGATACTCTAGTATTGAAGCTACTGGAATGCAGCACCAGTCCCTGCTCAGGTTCCATGCAATTTCAGCATTAAACTTAAAAATTCTATGTTTTCCCAATGACTCAGGGGTAAATGCATCCCTTGCCAGCTCATACACAAGGTCCCAAGTGGATGCCCAGCCCATTATCTCAGTCAGGGCATTATACTTGATCTGGGTCAAATAGGAGGAGTGGTGAATCATTTCAAAATACTAAATCTTCCATTGCTTAACCAACAGAACCACCTTCTCAACTGGAAGGTGAACTTACATG